GAGAGGTTAATGAGAATACAGTTATGTAATATAGTTTATTTAGCCACGGGATGGTAAGGATGGTGATCAATCTAGGTCAAGGAAAAGTGGATATTGTAATGACCCGCTTAGTAGTTCCAATTACCCGCTAAGTAGTTGTAATTACCCACACCTCCACTACCCCCTCCCACCTCCATTCCCCCCTCACATTTCCATCACCCCTTCCCATATCCATCCACCCCCCTCCTCCCACCACCCCCCTCCTGCCACCCCCCTCCTCCACCTCCATCACCCCCACGTAGTAAGTGCTGGGACGCTGGAAAGTTTTAAAAGGAGGCTAGCTAGATTCATGGACGATAGAGAATAGTTGTAATTCTCGACAGGAGCTGCCATGCACAGACCAACCGGCCTATTCAGACTCCTTATTTTCTTATGGATAGTGACCTTAATGAGCTTTGACCCTGTTTATTAATGGAACAGTTGGCCTGTTAATTAAAACCTCCACCTGTAAACACTGGTATAGCTATAAGCTTTTGAATCTGTTTTGTTGTTGGAAAAGAGAGAGGTTAATGAGACTACAGTTATGTAATATAGTTTATTTAGCCACGGGATGGTAAGGATGGTGATCAATCTAGGTCAAGGAAAAGTGGATATTGTAATGACCCGCTTAGTAGTTCTAATTATCCGCTAAGTAGTTGTAATTACCCACACCTCCACTACCCCCTCCCACCTCCATTCCCCCTCACATTTCCATCACCCCTTCCCATATCCATCCACCCCCCTCCTCCCACCACCCCCCTCCTCCCACCACCTCCATCGCCCCCACACCCTACCACCCATCACCCCCACACCTCTACCACCCATCACCCCCCACACCCTTACCACCCATCACCCCACACTTACCACCCATCACCCCCACACTTACCACCCATCACCCCCACACCCCCACACCACCCATCACCTCCACACCCACATCCCTCACACCCCACCCTTCTACACCCCAACCACACCCCCAACCACACCCCCAACCACACCCCCCAACCACACCCCCCGAACCACACCCCTGACCACACCCCCCCGACCACACCCCCCCAACCACACCCCCCAACCACACCCCCAACCACACCCCCAACCACACCCCCAACCACACCCCCCAACCACACCCCCAACCACACCCCCCCACACCCCCCAACCACACTTCAACACCCCCAACCACACCCCCCCCAACCACACCCCCAACCACACCCCCCAACCACACCCCCCAACCACACCCCCCAACCACACCCCCCCAACCACACCCCCCCAACCACACCCCCCGAACCACACCCCTGAACCACACCCCCACCACACTCTGCACCATACCCCAACCATACCCCAACCATATTCCCCAACCATACCCCCCAACCATACCTCCCCCAACCATACCTCTAACCAGCCCCCAACCACACACCCAACCAAACCCCCAACCAAAAAAAAAAAGATTCGTCAAAATGGAAATATAAAAAAGTGAAGAAAAATCATATTGGGATGCACTTTGGTTGCCGTCATAAAGTTACCACAGACAAATAACACTGTCTGGCCCAAGGCTCTCACTGTTGTTCGCCTTTGTTACGTGTTATGGTCATGTTCTGTTTTGCCTTCACACACACACACGCACACACGCGCACACACACACACACACATGCACGCACTTGCACACGCACACTGAAGGAGGAGGGTTTGACCCGTGAAGATGGTAGGTAAATGGACTGAATACACTCCACTGGGGGATAGGTATTGATCCAGGGAGTAGAGGGGATACCCACTCCATCTTGAGGCCCTGGCAGACAAGCTCAAGTCTTCATCAATCATGCCCTTCCTCCCCCCCCCCTCTCTCCCGTCCTCCCTCACTCACTCACTCACTCACACTCACTCACTCACTCACTTCTTTGCAACAGCAGATTTGCACCTCCACCGACACACACGACACGTCAACACTATCACAACAGGTTAGGTTTAGGTTAGGTTAGGTTAGGTTAGGTTAGGTTAAAACACCAGTGGAGAAAACCTATACATCACTATAACATTTGCACCTGTTATGTTTTCGTCTGTGATTAGCGTTCATATCTTTGGATTTACCTGGATTGACAAACACAGGCAGGTGAGCCGGTGCCGTTATGATCACCTGGGAACACTGTGGGTGATGTTGCTCTATACCTGCCTCGCCCTCTCGTGTTAACTTATGCTCGTGTATGACTTTATTGATTCATTTTTCTGTCATTCGTATTGGAGTCCCGGATGCCACACGTGACTCTGATATTAGTCATGTTGATATTTGATTGTTGACGCCAGAAAGGAACTCCAAAAGTTGTCACGTGTGTTGAATTATGTGGTGGATCCTGTTGTGCGGTGCTGAGTGTGAGAGGAGAAGGAGGAGGAAGGAGGAGGAAGGGGTAGAAAGAGGAGAAGAAATAGGAAGATTAAGAAATAGAAACAGAAACTCATGTAGAGTATAGTGCCGCCTCGTTACCATAGCATAGGGCTTTCTATCCTTACACACACACACACACACACACACACACACACACACACACACACACACACACACACTAAACCCCATATGGATTGATCACCAGACAAATTATTTTAATCCTTGACAAACTTATGCATATCAATAGAACCAATTAATATTACTATACATTAACCACCTATAGAGCCAGGTAGTCAAGGTGAGCAAAAACATAATGACTAATTAATTTCTGACGTCAGGTGAACGATAGGAGCTTCACTAAAAAAAAAAATCGTAAATCAGGACATTCAGGAAATATAAGTTTAGCGTGTGATTATACATTTCGCCTGACTTTACATACTGACCAGCTTGACAAGTGAAGTTAATAGTGTTTATTTACTATACTTGAAAGCCCCCCAAAAAATAATCTATTGGTGAAGTAATCGTAAAAAAAAATCAACCAGGTGGATATTGAAACTGGGGTCAACGGGGGTCAAATAAGAGTTGTAAAGCCAGCCTCAACTAGTGGTACCATACACCCAGCCTCAACTAGTGGTACCGTGTTAGGTTCACCAGGCGTAACGTACCTCATGTTGTGTACACAGTTATTTCATTTCCATATTGTTCGTTGGCTAGTGAGTGATGGGCCGTTGTTCCATTTTGGCAGCTGTTTTTATTGTTCATTGTGCGGTGATCTGTGTAAATGATGGGGACCACTTACTGTAAATGATGACTTCCACTTGATTGCTGTTAATGATGGGGTCCACTTGATTACTGTAAATGGGGTCCACTTGATTACTGTAAATGATGGGGCCCACTTGCTGTAAATGATGGGGCCCACTTACTGTAAATGATGGGGCCCCACTTACTGTAAATGATGGGCCCCACTTGCTGTAAATGATGGGCCCACTTACTGTAAATGATGGGCTCCACTTCCTGTAAATGATGGGGCCGTACATGTCGTAGAGGTCACAAGTGTTCCAGTGTACGTCGTTCTGTGTAAGTGATGGGGCGACGTTCACGACTGTGTAGGTATTCCGATAGTTTATTGTCCGCGGGTTACTGTGAGTGATGGGAACCTGACGAGGCCCTTCATTTACCTCAATTACCTCCTCCTCGCTAACGAACCTCTGTGTCGCCTCCTGTTGTTTACTTCGTCAGGAGACAATATTTCATGTGTGGAGGTGTTTTTGTTATTGATTTATTTGGTGTGTGTGTGTGTGTGTGTGTGTGTGTGTGTGTGTGTGTGTGTGTGTGTGTGTGTGTGTGTGTGTGTGTGTGTGTGTGTGTGTGTGTGTGTGTGTGTGTGTGTGTGTGTGTGTGTGTGTGTGTGTGTGTGTGTGTGTGTGTGTGTGTGTGTGTGTGTGTGTGTGTGTGTGTGTGTGTGTGTGTGTGTGTGTGTGTGTGTGTGTGTGTGTGTGTGTGTGTGTGTGTGTGTGTGTGTGTGTGTGTGTGTGTGTGTGTGTGTGTGTGTGTGTGTGTGTGTGTGTGTGTGTGTGTGTGTGTGTGTGTGTGTGTGTGTGTGTGTGACAATGAATAGATGTCAGTAAAGGAAGGGGGGGTAGGGTATAGGTTACTTCCTGTGTGTTGCTGAAGTGGTGTTACGTAAGGGGGGCTCCTGAAGTGTTCTTGATGAGGTGTTGGAGGGCTCTCCTGAAGATACTGGCGGTGGGGTAAGGGTGTAGAGGCTTGCAGGACGGTCCATCACATAATTGGTGGCGCGGGGCTTAAAAAGGAATATTTCGCATTTTTAATAATTTTTAGCAATGATACAACAACCACTTACTGTAATACTGAGAGAGAGAGAGAGAGAGAGAGAGAGAGAGAGAGAGAGAGAGAGAGAGAGAGAGAGAGAGAGAGAGAGAGAGAGAGAGAGAGAGAGAGAGAGAGTAAAAAAAAATCACCAGTAATTTAACATGAATTGTAACTTGTTATTTTCTCCCCATAAGAATAGTTAAATATCAAATGGCATGAAGCAGAATTTCATAGAAGTTTAATGTGTATTTTTTTCCTACAGGTTTAGAGAGAACTATGTATAGGCCGTATATTGCGTCGAAAGAATATTTATCTTTATTTTTGTATGTAATAATAATTGTGGCGAGTCATTGATGGTATTGTCTTCAGTGTTGATTGGTCAGGTAAAGCCCCCATTCTCCTGTCAGGTAGGTGTGTGTGTGTGTGTGAACTTTGACTAGTTTCCGTGGGCAAACGCCCCCCCAAAAAAAAAAATATCCCTGCTTTCGAATTCTGATCGATGAAGAGCATACATGTTTAGCCTCTTGTCATTTGTATACGTGTGTGGTTTTCTCTGTCCTTGTATCCCATATTGTCCCGTGTTTTGGTGTAACTAAGCATCACTACAGCGTCTAGGTGATTTGATGTTGAGAATAATGGCATTTATTTTCTTCATTATATCATTCTTACATTTGTGTGGGGGAGGTGTAGGGGGGGATATGTAACATCTGTTTTTGTGTTGTGGTCATGTGTACTGTTGTGTTATGTACTGTTTCACTAACCTGGCACTCTTGTCCCCGGCAGAGTGGTCGCGGCCTCAGCCGACTGAGTTCGTCGTGTCCGTCTCTCAACGTGGACGGGGAGGAAGTAGAAGACGACGACTCTCCTTCATGTAAGTCCCCGACTGGGCCTAGTCCCGTCCTCCCAGGAGCCAGCACCAGCAGCCACCACGCCCACGCCCCCGCATACCAGGCCAGACGGGGGTCCGGCCGACTGTCCTCGCGCTCCGACGACGGGGAGACCACCAGCCCTAACACCCCCAACACCCCCAACACGCCCATCACCTCCAGCTCCCTCGACGAGCACCACCTCTGTCCCGACACACCCAAAATACGGGTCAACGACTCCACGCCCACAGGTATACATGTCGTCTGCTAGAGCACGATATGTCTCGTTCGCCCGTCGCACGACGCACACATACACACACACACATACACCCATCCCAGGACATATGTACTTCCGTCCTAGGATATGTGTACCCAATCCTGCGTCACGTTTCCCATCGTCCTTGGACACGCCTACACCAGTCCTTGGACACGCCTACACCAGTCCTTGGACACGCCTACCCCAGTCCTTGGACACGCCTACACTAGTCCTTGGACACGCCTATCCCAGTCCTTGGACACGCCTACCCCAGTCCTTGGACACGCCTACCCCAGTCCTTGGACACGCCTACCCCAGTCCTTGGACACGCCTACCCCAGTCCTTGGACACGCCTACCCTCGTCTTTGGATATACCTAATCCTGCCGTAGGTGATGGCTAACCCTGCAGTAGGATACGTCTAATCCCCCCACCCCCTACCCTAGGACGCGTTAACCCATATACTAAGTGTCGTCTACCCAGGTCCAGCCATCTCCCCCAACACCTCTCCTGTTTGAGCGTCTTATGTCACGTTGTTTAGTGTTGTTGTTGTTGTTGCACCTGCATGACCGTCACGGTACTGTACACCACTAACCTCCTCCCGGTGGCGCTGCTGCTGACTCTGGTACTGCTTCACTGCATTACCTCAATAACACATCACTGCCTCGTCACCTGTGCTCGGTACTAATCAGAGCTCAGGTGCCAGTGTAAAGTTATTCGACTGACTAATAATTATATATATATATATTGTAATGTAATGGTAAAATAGTGAGTGATAGTTTTATTCCACTATTTACATATAAAACTATGGAATGCGTTATCAAGAGTCATTAATACCGGGTTGTTTATCAGTGTTATGCGTGTGTGCTGGAGGAGGAGGAGGTTAGTTCATGAGTAGCGTCAGCCTGTTCCTCTGCCTGCAGGTATGACGGTGTTAGGTTGTATCCCCTGGTTATCGGTGCTACAGTATACAGAGATGTTTTTATTTTTCTGGTGATTAGTGTGACCCGAGGAGAGAGAGAGAGAGAGAGACTCACTTTTATCGCCGTGTGATTACTTCCTTGTTCTCTAGACTGTAAATAGAATAACTGAACTTTGACCTATGACCCCTGATCTATTATCCCTCTGACCCCTTGACCTTTGACCCTATGACCTTCAGTTGTTTTTTTCCACCAAGGTGTCTCTCTCTCTCTCTCTCTCTCTCTCTGTCTCTCTCTGTGGTCAGGCAAGGGTAGTCGGTGTAGGTCGGAGATGGCGATACCTACACTTATACCCCTACCTCATAAGCAGCACAGTTTACCTGGCCTCTAACACCCAAAAGTGGTCTAGTAGGTTAGTCATCATTCATTAGAGTTAGATTCAGCCTCCATGTTCCCACCTCCACCATTCACCTCTCCACCATCCATCTCTCCACCACTCCATTTCTCCATCACCAATCTCTCCACCACCCACCTCCTCCCCATCCACCACTCCATCACATGTGACTTCTGCAGATGGTTGAGGCTCGGGTGGGACTTAAATAGGCCCCAAACTAATGGCTAGGTTGGAATCTCTTAAGACAGGGGCCCCATCTTACAAGTCTCCAATTGACATCTTCAACAAATCTCCAAAAATCCCTCCACGCTGCTTCACCTTTTTAAAAGTCTTATTCAACCTGCACGATATTTTACTGTCGTTTTTTTTAATAATTTTCTTGTGATTTTTATTTTTATACATTTAATGATACTCTCTTTTAGTTTGCTATTTACGAACGATGGATTTTGTCCCACGTTAGTATAGTCGCAGTTGCACGTTTTGTGAGACTAGCATGTGTGAGGTCGTCTTTTGCTGCTGCCCTCTTGCGGTTATTTTAATGTTAACAAACCCACTAATTTCTTCCACCCAGAGTAGATGTTGTTTCAGGTCGTAAAAATGATGATTGTACATTATATTATGATGACTTTTATTATTGTGTTTGGGTTATATTGAGGTGAGTTTGTTTCTCTCTTTCGCATGGTGTTGTACGGAGGGATTCCCACTCCTTGTGTCACCTGTGTCTCGGTGCTACTCGCATTGTGTAGACAGTCGATGAACAATGTCCCATATATTAATTACAGAAGATTGATTATTTGTTCCATTATTTTTCGTTAATGTGAAAATATACTTGTGCTTACCTCCCTTACGTGTGTGTGTGTGGTAATTAACAATGTAGGTATAACGTTACAGATTAGTGAAAGATAGAGTACTGTCAGTTGTCGCGAGAGATCATTTGCCAAGGAGAAATAGCTGGATGGACTTGGATTACGCAGACATGTTTTTTTTTTTTTAGGATTTTTGTAGGCAGAAATAAATGAGGTCTGAAAAGATGTCCCCCTCCTCTTCCTTTCCTCCTTCTCCTCCTCCTCCTCCTCCCTTCCCCTCTCATCTCCTCCCCCTCCTCTCTTTCTTCCCCCTTCCCTCTTTCTTCCCCCTTCCCCCTCCTCTCTTCCTTGCCTCCTTCTCCCCACCTCTCCTCCCCCTTCCCCCTCATCTCCTCCCTCCTCTATTCTTCCCTCCCTCTCTTCCTTTCCCCTCTCTTCCCCCTCCCCTCTCCTGTTCCTCTCCCCTTCTCCTCCCCACCCTCTCCCCATCCTCTTCCTTTCCTGCCATCAATCGCTCAAGAACATTTACAATTATTCGATTATCACATCAACATTTGTCCACCGAAAGGATTATAACCCTTCTAAATAATCGACAGTCCTCACTCGTTAAGACTTCGCTAATCATCTTGTTACCTCAAATTTAATATATTGTTTCCCTGTATAGTGAGTGGCGTATCGTCGGTCGTATACAAGGGTCAAGTTCCCAATGGATATATAGATATGTAGTTTTATGTGTAAGCAGCTCTATACTACATAAGGATACAAGTTTTATCTACAGTTGCATATACCTCATTACCATACAGCTGTGGTTTGATTTAAATGTCATTTTTTCCACGCTTTGAGTCCTGAATCTATTGCAAGCTTTGCCATTGAATCTATTGCAAGCTTCACCATGGTCTCATATTGCTAAAGCTGACTCGATCATAAGCTTATCTGTGGCACTGTATAATAAAGATAGTAGAGAAGGTGGTAAAGCTGGTGATGTACGCACCTTTATCTCATGATGTTAAATCCGGATTAACCTTTCACGAAGGTCAACAGAGTCAGTCTAGGGAAGCTGAGGTTTTTGGTTTAAGTTGTTGTTTACTTTTGAATTAGGATGTTTCGAGGTCTTTTTTACACCACACACGTCATCAACTATGTCTAAAAAATCCCACACGTCATCAACTATGTCTAAAATATCCCACACGTCATCAGCTATGTCTAAAATATCCCACACGTCATCAACTATGTCTAAAATATCCCACACGTCATCAACTATGTCTATAATATCCCACACGTCATCAACTATGTCTAAAATATCCCACACGTCATCAACTATGTCTAAAATATCCCACACGTCATCAGCTATGTCTAAAACACCACACGTCATCAACTATGTCTAAAAATCCCCACGTCATCAACTATGTCTAAAAAATCCCACACGTCATCAACTATGTCTAAAAAATCCCACACGTCATCAACTATGTCTAAAAAATCCCACACGTCATCAACTATGTCTAAAAAATCCGACACGTCATCAACTATGTCTAAAAAATCCCACAAGTCATCAACTATGTCTAAAAAATCCCACACGTCATCAACTATGTCTAAAACACCACACGTCATCAATTATGTCATTTGGTTTAAGTCATTTCGTTTACCAATTGGTCGTTTAACTGTCTTTATAACTTAATTAGATCATTACACTTATTACCTGTGCCCAGAGTCTAATATTACCTTTGTTAATTAGACTTCAAGCTTAATTACATTAGTTGAAGTAAAAAAAAAAGAAGTATATCGAGAAAAAAAAATAATTCTTTGTAAATTAGTTCAAATCCTCATTTGTAATTATTGTAATCTAGTCACCGGGAATTTTTAAACCCTCGTTTGTGATGATGAATATTGAGAGAGAGACATTTTTCTGAGAGACTTATAACTGCCGAGTGATGAGAATAGTGGCCTGTTTGGAGAAGTTAGTCTCTCTCTCTCTCTCACAGCCACCAGAGGGAATCACCCAGGTTATGACCAGCGGCAGTAAGATATAATACTGTAGTCTATATCCAGGTGTGATCTAAATTGGCCCTCGGCTTGAATTAATGTTCGGGCAATAGTTTAATAACGCTGCGCTGAATAAACACGGAGAGTATTTTCAACTTTTAGTGTTTTAATATCTAATTTTATTAGATTTGTTTTTTACTTAACTGTGGTGATGGGAAGAATTTAATATTAATAGTAAAAAAAAAGTTGGTTCCGTATAGCAGCTGTTTATTTTGTGTTGCATCTCATAAAAAATAAAATCCTCGAGTTCTTTACTAAAGTGTGACAAAAGAACGACTAAAATCATCCAGAAAAACAACTTTACGATGTGAAAGTAACTCGGATGTTAGTGTGTAGGATGCTGCTGCAATAGTCCTTACAGACCATCACCCGGGTGGGCCCTTGAAGCGAGTTTAGGACGTATGGGCCATGGACCACGACCCCTGGGGGTTTGGGCCAGGGTGGTTAGGACATTTGGGTCGTGGCACATGTCCCAAACGCCCTAATACCCCTGGCTGCTGACACACACACACACACACACACGATCGCAAAATTTTTAAAATATTTCCCTTCTTCTCTCACAACTTGCTGCCGCCTCCAACCTTTAGAAAGAAGTTAATAAAATAAATCAGCTTTAAAGTTTTAATGAAGATGACCAAAGAATCAAAATCATTTCTGAGTCTTATTTATTTGTGTTGGTCACGAGATTCTATGCTACCAGGAGATCCTACACTAAACTCAGTCCGCTTGAGCAGGTCTCCATGATGAGGCGCCTCGGCTTCAAGATGATATAAGTCGTCTCGCTTTTATGAGGCAGAAAGCAATTGTCGCTCTTCCTTGATGTGGTTTATTACGAGA